AACCATACAATATGCTGAATCTCTCTTTTTTCTTCATCCCCCATATTGCTATTTTCTAACTCCTTCTCCTCAGCACCTCTTTGACAGTCTTTGGCACTTTTCCCTCTCTCTCTCTCTCTCTCTCTCTCTGTCTCCCTCACTCTCGGTATCTGTCTCTCTCTGATTTAGCTGGAAGGGTCACCTTCGTTCTTCGTTTCGCTGAGTCGCTCTTTGCCTGACGCTAGAAGCCGTGTTCAGGCTAACAAGTGAAGACAGGAGGGTTTTTGGCTTTAACTGGAGAGGGAGGGGCGGGGCTTTGGCTCTAAAGGGCCAATGAGGTCCACCATCTGGACAGACAAGTCCAGCACCTTTAATGCCTTTTATGGCCCTGGACTCAGCCAAGGAGGGGTCGCATTAACTTAGCTAATGCACTGATGGTAACCTCTCTCTGTCCTTCTCTCTCTCTCAGTCTCTCTTCTATTACTCTCTTTCTCTCTGTCTCTTTTTTAATTTCTTTCCATCTTTTTGTCACTTTCTCTCCCTCTTTCTCTCTCTTTCATCTCTTTCATTGTTTTTCAGTTTCTTTCTCTCTTTCAGTCTCTTTCTCTCTCTGTTTGTTTCTCACTTTCTGTTTTAATCTTTCTTTCTGTCTCTTTCTTTTTCATTTTTCTCCCTCCTCTCTTGCTTTCTTTCAGTTTTCTCTCTTTCTTTCAGCCTCTCTTTCAGTCTTTTTCTCTCTGTCATTCAGTCCTTTTCTTTCAGCCTTTTCGATTTTCTCTCATCTGTAATCTCTCTCTCTACCCACCTCTCTCTCTCTTTCTGTTTCCTATTCAGTCTCATTCTTTCTTGCTCTTTTCCATGTGCCCTCTATCTCTTTCATACTTTCTCCCTTTCAGCTTCTCTTTCTATCTTTCCCTCTCTTTTAGTCTCTTTCAGCCTTTTTTGCTCTCTTTCAATCTCTCTTTTTTCTTTTTCTCTTTTTCTTCTCGGCTTCTTTCAGTCTGTTTCTCTTTCAGCTCTCTCCCTTTTTCTCTTTCATTCTTTTTTTAGTTTTTTCTCTCTGGCGTTCAGTCTTTCTTTTCATTTTCTCTCTCTTGCTTTCAGTCTTTTTCCATTTGTCTCATTAAGCCGCTTTCGTCCTCTTTTAGTCTCTCTTTTAATCTCTTTCTCTGATTTTCAGTGTCTCTGCCTTTCGGTATTTCTCTTTCTCTGTATCTCTGTCTTTTTCTCTTTCTCCTTCTCTTTCTTTCTCAGTTTACCTCTGTCTTTTAGTCTCTCTCTCTCTGTCACTCTAGCTCTGACTTTCAGTGTCTTGCTCTCTTCCTCTTTCTCTCAGTCCATCTGTTTGTGGCTCTTTCTACCTTTTTGAGTCTCTTTCTCTCTCTCTCTCTCTGTTTTTCAGTCTTTTTTCTGTCTTTCTCTCTCTCTGTCAGTCTATGTCTATCTTTCAGTGTCTTTCTCTCTCATTCTCTTTCAACCTGTGTCTTTTTCTCACTCTTTCACTCTGTCTCATTCAGGCTCTTTTTCTCTTTATAGCTCTTTTCTTCCTCTTTTAGTCTCTTTTGATCTCTTTCTCTCTGTTTTTCAACCCAACCCGCCCCCCACCCCACCCCGTCCTCTCTCTGTCAATATATCTTTGGTCTTTCTCTCACTCTCCTTCATTCTCTCTCACTCTTTTCTCTCTCTCTCTCTCTCTCTCTCTCTCTCTCTCTCTCTCTCTCCATATGCCAGTCTCTCACTCTTTCTTACTCTCCACTCCCTTTCTCTTTCTCTCTCTTCCTGTTCTCCATGTCGCTGCTGTGAAGACTGAATATTTTGGATTTTGGGCAGAGCTTTTCATCCTCAGAGCCGTGGAGAAGGAGAATTAGATTAGATTAGCCGGCTGTGTTTTGAAAAGCGCCTCCAAAGCAATCTTTGTCATAAAATAGCAGAATGAGCTCACACACACACACACACACACACACACACACACACACACACACACACACACACACACACACGCACTCGCACACACACACACGCACACACACGCACACACACACACACACGCACTCGCACACACACACACACACACACACACGCACACACACACACACGCACACACACACACACACGCACTCGCACGCACACACACGCACACACACACACACACGCACTCGCACGCACACACACGCACACACACGCACACACACACACACACACTCGCACACACACACACACACTCGCACACACACACACACTCGCACACACACACACACACACACACACGCTCTCGCACACACACACACACACACGCACTCGCACACACACACACGCACACACACACACACACACTCGCACACACACACACACACACTCGCACACACACACACACTCGCACACACACACACACACACACACACGCTCTCGCACACACACACACACGCACTCGCACACACACACACGCACACACACACACACACACACACACACACTCGCACACACACACACACACACACGCGCACTCGCACACACACACACGCACACACACACAAACACACGCACTCACACACACACACGCACTCACACACACACACACACGCACACTCGCACACACACACACACACTCGCACACACATTTGCACACACACACACACACACTCACACACACACACACAAGCACACGCACACACACACCTACACACACACACACCTACACACGCACACAAACACACACACACACCTACACACGCACACACACACCTACACACACACACACCTACACACGCACACAAACACACACGCACACCTACACACGCGCACAAACACACACACACACACACACCTACACACACACACACCTACACACGCACACAAACACACACACACACCTACACACGCACACAAACACACACACACACACACACCTACACACACGCACAAACACGTGCAGCGCTGCAGGAAGAGAGTGCAGCTGAGTGACGGAGTGCCCACTCCTCAGATTCAGCAGGTGATTTATTCCCCTCAGTCTGCTGAGTGATGGAGGGATGCGATGCTCTGACCTTTCTGTGGGTCCTGAAAGAGGAGCACCGCAAACACACACTTTAGAACATGACCCATACACACCTCTGACCAGTCCAGTTGGACTGTGGCCAAGAATGTTAAGGTCAGGTGTAGGGTCAGCTGATAATCTGTGAAAAAGTTTCACTTGACTTATGAAAATCCAGTGGACTGGAAAGCGTCCAATGCAGAAAGTCTCTTCATTCCTCCTGATAAATATTTCATGCTAAACATATTGTTCAAAGTCCAAATCAGAGATCTTGAACTCATATTACCCGGAGGCCATTAGCCTGGTGGTCTTCTCCAAGGAGGCCAGGGGGTGTGCATTAATAAAATGCAAGGGAAAAATGTTTTTCAGAGTCTTTTGAAGTATGATAAATAATAATAAAGCATATACAGGCTTCAAATGTCAGAGTTTACACTAGTGCTGTCATCGTGTTTTACCCAATGTGGGAAAGTCAATGTACACCACCGTTAGCTTGGCACTAACTTAACACTGCATATCCAATAGAACGCTAGCAGAAATGAGCATTACTGTACTGTAGTGTAGTGATGATACACAGTGAAGGGTTCAAGCGCTTGACGTTAGAACCAGTGGGGGAACAAATAACAGTGACAGCGCTCTACTGTCTCACCTCTCCCTCTCCAGGCCTTCACTCCACAGTGACTTCACGCTCAGTGTGATGTCAGAGGGGGTTCAGAGGGGCTGATGGGTACTTGGTTCACTGTGATGTAATGCAACACTTAAAGTGAGACGCTGGTTAAGAAAAGCACTTTGTAACAGTAATTCTAGGCTGGACTTTGTATTTGTCTTTACTTTATGCTCGCCAAGCTGGGACTGACTTCTTTGGCAGTGACATTATAACATGTTATTAACACTACTTATAATGCATCATATTAACAATTCATAATGTATAATAAACATGGCTATAAAATGTAATTCAGTGTATACATACATCATCTAAACCGCTTATCCTTCTGGGTCACGGTGGGGTGCTGAAGCCCATCCCAGCTGTCATTGGGCGGAAGGCAGGATACACCCTGGACAGGTCGCCAGTCCATCACAGGGCAGACAGACAGACATACACATTCACACACACACCTAGGGGCAATTTTAGCAGGTCCAATCAGCCTGACTGCATGTTTTTGGACTGTGGGAGGAAACCGGAGTACCCAGAGGAAACCCACGCAGACACGGGGAGAACAGGCAAACTCCAAAAATTAATTCAGTGTAATTCATTTTTATAAATATTTATAACCATGTTTATAATGCCTTATGAATGCTTTATAACATGTTATAAATGTATTTATAGATGCTTACAAACATGACATTCATAGGAAGTGTTACCGAAATAATTTTATTAATTAACAGTGTACAAACAGCAGCTCTACAGCACAAGTGTGACATCAGTCGAATGCAAACTACAGCTTATGTTGGCATTTTTCCAAGTCATTTTGGCCCGTTTCATTTGGTCCAATAATCATGAAATTTACACACAATGTAAAGAGCAACAGGTACATTCAAATTATGTCCAAAACTGAAAAATGACAAAAATGGAAATATGAGGTTTTCCTCTGACAGCAGCGATATTTATATTTGTGTTTTTGTGTTACAATACCCAGCATGCACTACGCAAATAATTCATGCTACCTTTGGGAATTTCCCCCACAGCAATAAGGAAATCCACTGATGCAGAGGCCAATAAATCCAGACATGACATCTGTCTTTCTCCTGCATTAGCCAGCTAGCGGAAAAACAAAACAAGCCAAAAACGGTTCACCACGCTCTTGTACTTTTTCCCGCCACCTTCAAGATGCATCATCAAAGGGATGTTTTCCTAGTCTCAATCTGGAAAACCTCCCCTACAAACTGCTATAGGAGGGAAACAAACATGTTTATAATGTTATGAAATGTTTATAAGTGACTTCCAAAAGACTCACTACTGTAATAAGCTTAGTTTGTGTCTGTATGTTTGGCGCAGGTGGCCGAGCAGCTGATGACCATCGCCTACGAGAGCGGCGTGAACCTGTTTGACACAGCGGAGGTGTACGCGGCGGGAAAGTGAGTAAAACTCAAACTCACATTAAAGCGATCAGTGCAAATCTGCCCCTTTAGTTGTTTGGTGAAGCCCTTTGTCTATTCTTATAGACAACCAGGTGTCATGTAAGCTGTGTCCCAATTCAGGGACTGCATCCTTCGAAGGCGGCGTAGACCTGCGAAGGCTGAGCCGTGAATAGATGATCTGCTCTGCAGCGGATTTCCTCATTCACAGCGCCGCTGTTCCCGCCCTCATGGCTGCGTCATGAAACGCCGCGCCTGTCAAGTTCTTTTAAAGTTCTTTAAAGACAAAGCCAAAAACTTAATTTAATCAAGTTTTTAAAACTTGATTTTAGTTTTTATTTTTTTATTTATTAGAGATGGAGATGCTTCACCGTCGGCTCCTGTACGTTAGCGTAAGATTTGCTTCAGACCTCATTGGCTTTTCAACTTCTGTATCGTTCACTATTCGACTCAGTTTAAACCCAATACTTACATTTAAAAGTGTCTCCTCAGCCACCGTTCGCTCCTCTGCTGACGCTTCCATGTTCTCGAATCCTCGCCGGCACGCAGTGAACCTCAGGATACGTTGGCTGGCAAAGGATCCACCCATTGGATCCTTCGCTGCCATGGAAAAGAAGGACACATTTCTTGGCTGCTTATGAAGAAGGCTTCGAAATGGGCCTAGTCGCACCGCTTTGACGCAATCGGCCTTCAAATGCAGCCTCTGAAGGACGCAGCCTCTGAATTGGGACACAGCCGTGTCAGAAACGACATAAGCAAGTCTGTTAGAGATTACTGATTAGATTTGATTAACTCGATTAGATTTGAGGCCTAGTGCAAATCAAACATGCTGGTTTAGACATGCAGTTTGTACAAAGCTAACTGACCAAATTCAGGCTTCTTGTTAGCTACATTAGCCTCCAGTACAAAAGTAAGGAAGCAAACTTCAGACACCAAGTATGTTCTCGGCTCGTTGACTTGTTTTCACTGTTAAAAATGAGAGGTCAGCTCAACTCAAAATGATATAGTAACCGATTACTTGGCTTTTCTTGAGTTGACTCAAGAAAAAGTTCACACAACTAAAAGTCAAAAAGTCCTCTTAATTTTTTATTTGTGCATCTCAGTTAGGTAAATAAGAGGATAATAATAATATTATTATTATTATTATTATTATTATTATTATTATTATCTATATAGCACTTTTCATGCCGGTGGCAGCTCAAAGTGCTTTACAGACAGGTGATAAAACATAGTTATACAAGAAATCATTAGTTTTTATTTAGAATCAGAAGAAAATGAAGCAGATCAAATTAGAAGATAAACACTAAATGAAAAATGTTTAATACACTGGAGGAAATATTTGTTGTTTTAACTTTAAAGCACTGCATCGTCTCAGCTGTCTAATAATTCAACATCACAACAACATCAACATCACAGTGAGTTCGAATCCCACCAGTACTACAGCTATTCATATCCGTAAGCCCAAGAGGAAAATATGCCAGATAGGACTGTGAGATGGAAGGAGCGCCAGCTAGTGGGGAAATTAATAAAAAAAACACAAAATCAGTTGTGTTTATCTAACTGAGATGCAGAGCTAGAAACAGTAGCTGGGAGAACTTTTGACTCATCTAAGGAGTTGAGTTGGGTGAACTCTGGTGTCCTCAAGCTGAGTCAACTCAAGTAAAGCCATGTAATCTGTTACTATATTATTTTAAGTTGAGCTGACTTCTCATGATTTACAGTATATGGGATGCTGGAAAACTGTTCACTCTAAGCTACAGTGAATTTGGCTCTTCTTTGTACTGCTGTAAATTTATGAATCCTGTCAATGTTGTTTCTGTTTCTCTCAGAGCGGAAATCATCCTGGGAAACATCATCAAGAAGAAGTGCTGGAGGTACAGGCCCTGTGTTTGTGACTTCTTGTGTGTGTCTATGTGGCTACAAATGATTCAAAATACAAAAAAGCAGCTGAAAGCTGGCTGGCGTCTCCTGCTACGTCCCTCTAGTCAGCGCCGTTCTGTGGATCGGTCAGTGTTTCTCTGAGGTTTGAGCGAGTTGGTCCTGTTTATGTTGGTTCATTTCGGTGCTGTTTCACCGTCTCATCACCAGGTTCAGTAAAGCTGGTTATCAAAGAGGTTCAGTTTGTAGATGTTTGTGTTATTTTGTGTCTGTTGTGGGTTTTTTCTGTGGAGGCTGAGAACATTTCACCCTCTTAATCTGTACACAGAGGATTAAACATATTAGAGCTCTCTCATTGTCTCTCTCTCTGTCTCTCTCTTTCTCTCTCTCTCTCTTCTGTCTCTCTCTTTCTCTCTCTCTCTCTGTCTCTCTCTCTCTCTCTCTCTCTCTGTCTCTCTCTCTCTCTCTCTTTCTCTCTCTCTCTCTGTCGCTCTCTGTCTCTCTCTTTCTCTCTCTCTCTGTCTCTCTCTGTCTCTCTCTCTATGTCTTTCTCTCTGTCTCTCTCTCTCTCTCTCTGTCTCTCTCTGTCTCTCTCTTTCTCTCTGTCTCTCTGTCTCTCTCTCTCTCTCTCTCTCTCTCTCTCTCTCTGTGTGAAGTTGTGTGTGTGTGTGTGTGTGTGTTGATGAATCTACAGCTGGCTGTTGTTTGGCATCCCAGAAGAGTCTGTGCTGCTGAGCTGCCTTCACTGACTCACCCTCAGTCCATTACTCTGCTGCCGCCATCTGTTACAGTGCAGAAAGACTGCCTGTGTGTGTGTGTGTGTGTGTGTGTGTGTGTGTTGCTGCGTGTGCACATTGGTGTGTTTCTTCACACCTACTGCATAAGTCAGTGATAGCCATAGTGGAAGTGTACCTGTAAAAGCGTCCCACCTGCTCTTCACCCTTTCACAGTGTGTGTCTTTAGTACTAGGATCAGTGTAACACAAGGAGGTGTGATTTTACCACAGGATGTCTGTAATGTTTATGATCAGTTCACATAGGACTAGAAATCCCTGTGTAAATTACTGGGATGGGATTGTTTTGTAGCATGGGATTATATAGCCTGGGGTTATCTCTATATTTTGTTTCAAAGCAAACATTTACACACATTTCCTTCTCGTAAAAGAACAAAATAAAAGATCAGTAAATATGTGATTTCATTTGGCCACAAAACTATAATTAGTGTAGCAGGGAAAAGCAGATTTAAGATGACATGAACGTTACTGTCTGAGGCCGCTTTGTCTGTTGATGCTTTGCCCGACCTATTTGTTCATTTGATTTTTTGTTTTTTTTCTGTTTTAAATCTATTTTTAATCACGTTCCAATCATGTTGTACTTTTAATTGTCCATTGTGTCTGAAAGGTCCTACACTCCATGGTCAAAAGTATGTGGACACCTCTGTATCTCCCTCATAAGAGCTCCTAAACATCTCATTCCAGAATCATGAAGATTGATATGGAGTTGCCCTGCCCCCTGCCCCCTGCCCCCTGCCCTCTGTGGCTATAACAGCCTCCCTTCTTCTCAGAAGGCTTTCCACAACATTACAGAGTGTGTCTGTTGGAATTTGTGCGGTTGAGGTCAGGGGTTTGCACAGGCCACTGGAGTTCCTCCACACTAAACTCATTAAGCCATGTCTGTATGGAGCTTGCTTTGTGCACAGGGGCTCAGTCATGCTGGAACTGGAACAGGCCGTCCCCAAACTGTTGTCACAAAGCTGGAAGGATATAATTGCCTAAAATGTCTTTGTATGTTGTAACATTAACATCACCCTTCACTGGAACTAAGGGGCCCAAACCCCCAGATTATTATTCCTCCATTATTAAACTATGCATTCTGACTTCTGGCAAACCCAGATTTGTCCATTAGAGTGCCAGATAGTGAAGCACAAGTCCAGTGGTGGTCTGCTTTACACCACTCACCCCTGTCACTTGCAAAATGCATTATGATCTTAGGCTTGTGTGCAGCTGCTTGGCCATGGAAACCCATTTCACGAAGCTCCCAATGCACCTTTCTGTGCTCTGTAGTGAGCGATGCAACTAAAGATAAACACGTGCACTTCAGCACTCAGCAGCCCCACTCTGTGAGCTTACGTGGTCTACTGCTATTGTGGTTGAGCTGTTGTTGCTCCTAGACACTTCCAGTTCACAATAATAGCACTTACAGTTATAAACTGAGCTCTTCAGTACGACCCATTCTACTACAGATGTTTGAGATTGCAAGACTATGTGCTTAATTTTATCCACCTGTTAGGAATGAGTGTGGCTGAAACACCTGAACTCAATAATTAGCTGGTGTCCACATACTTTTGGCCATATAGTGTATATAAATAACCTTTTTCCCCCTTGAGACCCAAATACCTGTGAATGTCCTAAAATATCATAGGTGGCTTTTTGCCACAGGGATGATACCTGCCTGCCACAATGGCACACAGTGGTTCCCAAGCCAGCACATTCAACCAGTGCAGCTAAACAGCAGCATTTAAAGAGCAATGTCATCTATGCAAGGACAACATATGTGGTATTAGTGTAGGAAATAACAGTCTGCATTACAGGAACTTACTATCTTTTTGTCTTAACTTAAGATCTGACAGGTCAAGATAAGATTTCTACCAAATTCATCATATCTTGATTTAGGAATCTTACCTTTCAGCATCTTATCTCAAGTTAAGAAATCTTAACTAGTAGCCAGGCAGTTAGCTACCGTTACGGATGTAAAAAAGGTCAAACAAAACTAAGGCGTGATAAACTGAGAGTTAAGAACGTTGTAACAGCGCTTTGTGTTGTTTATCAGATCATTGCTGCTCTTCAGTTTCAGTCTCCATTTCCCAAACACGTCTCCTCATTATTCACCACGATCACTGTAATATTTGATCTAACGAGTTTTCATCAGGATTTCATCAGTTAGGATGTTTCTGTTATACTGTTTTCTTATCTGGAGTTAATGGACAAGATTATGAACTTGAGAACCGTTGTTCTGTAATAGCTTCTGTCCTAAACTCAGTCCTAACTAAAGTTGTCATGGTGACTAAACAATAAGATTTCAGACTTAAGAAGGTTGCGTAATACAGCCCCACATCAACTAATGCTCAGTGATGTTCACATGTGAGAATACAAGTGTTTTTTTTTTAATTGGTAGTGAGTTTTTCACTGTTACTAGGGGCTGTTACTATGGTAACCCAGTTAACCACCACTGGGCACAGTCCTGGTCTTAGTGGTTTGCTGTGTTTTCTTGTTTCTGTTCATAACTGTGTATCTATAGGCGAACAGATCGATAAATAATATACATGTTAATAAGAATAATAATGACCCTACATAGTCAGGCTTAGCAACACCACCATATATGAGAAAATGAGAGTTAATGGCGGCGTCTTCAGTCTGTGTGTGTGTTGACCATGAATGTGTGAGCGCTCTGCTGATTTGAATATGCTCTAATCACTGTTGCGTGGACTGAAAGTGAATCAGCAGCAGTTCTCATTTTCGCCTGTTTACTGCCAAAACATCTACACGGGACGGTTTAGCACACATTAGTACACACTGCAGCTCCGCGTCTGCTCCTCCAGCAATGTCACAGCAACACAACTGACTTTTAATGAAGTCGAGAGATTTAACCATCATTTAACTGCATTTAACCTCAATCTGCCACAATAAAATTCAACTTACTGATTGATGGGGATCATTTTGTAAAATGACGATTTGCAATCAAAAACACACCTGTAGCAAACAGGATCTTGAGGCAGTGTGTAGGTGAAGTTTATTTTATTTAGGCCTTTCCAGAAATCTCAGTCCGTAGTCCATGAGGGGGTCAGGGCAGAGGTAGCAGGGTTAACGAGGGACAATCCATAATTAAAAAACAAGCAGGCAAGGTTAAAACCATAAAACAATAGAAGGGAATGTCTTAGAATTGCTGACAAAAGAGGAAAGAATTACACACTAATATAACAAGGCACAGGCGCAAATGATGATGAAGGGGCTGGGCTCAGATGACAGAAGGGGTCAAATAGGTACAGGGTTGCGAGTAGGCTTGGGCTGTAAACCGATCAGGCATAACATTATGACCTTACCTGCTTGTTTCTACGCTTATTGTCCATTTTATCAGCTCCATGTTCTACAGTTACAGACTGTAGTCCATCTGTTTCTCTGCATACTTTGTTAGCCCTCTTTTACCCTGTTCTTCAGTGGTCAGGACCCCAATGGATCCTCACAGAGCAGGTACTATTTGGGTGGTGGATCATTCTCAGCACTGCAGTAACACTGACGTGGTGGTGGTGTGTTAGTGTGTGTTGTGCTGGTCTGAGTGGATCAGACACAGTAGTGCTGCTGGAGTTTTTAAACACTGTGTCCACTCACTGTCCACTCTATTAGACACTCCTACCTTGTCAGTCCACCTTGTAGATGTAAAGTCAGAGACGATAGCTCATCTGCTGCTGCACAGTTTGTGGTCATAATGTTATGCCTGATCAGTGTATAATGGCAATGAGGTACACCGTATTTAAAAATAATGACTATATTCAAAATTATAATGTGTCAATAAAGTAACATAAAAAATAATTTGTGTTATTTTATATTTTGTCCAATATGTTAAGCAAATCAACAGCAATTTTGCATTAAAATGTTCAGAAATGTGTGAACTTCTTTTCACTGAAATATCAGTAGTAAACTTTTGCATAAGACAGTATCAGAACAAATCACAGTTCATATATTTCCAGAATATTTATGCGTATTTAAGTACTTCTAAATAGTTTTAGACAGTTTTGCACTGTTTACATTTGGCATTTTACATATCGCCTTTTATCTCCATTTTTTACATTTTTCAGTTTTTGGCATAATTTAAACATACCTGTTACGCTTTACATTGTATGTATATTTCATGATGAATGGACTAAAACTAACGATCCAAAATGACTTGAAAAAAGTCTGGTTCCATTGACTTCCATTAAAAGTAAAGTAGGTTTTTTCCTTCTCCTGTAAAGTTACCATTTTGGAGATACGAGGTTTTCTTCTGACAACAGTGATATTATAGCTCCTCTCTGACATTCACGATATCTATTTTTCCTTCTTTCTCTGTTTTCCAGGCGATCCAGTTTAGTGATCACGACCAAGCTCTACTGGGGAGGAAAGTAAGTGAAGCGCTCTCTACACTCACTTATAGCAAAATCAATTCTGTTTAACACTGCAGTGGGACAGTCTGCCATGGATATGTGCTGGTCTGGCCTTGCTGTGTTATTTTGAAATAGAGGTTGAACTCATAAGTGTCTTCTAATGGCACAGACCAGTAAACAGTTCTTTAATTATACTGTCTTAATCAGTTGAAGCCAGTAGATTTTACTGAGAGGCCAGTTAAAGTTTTTAAGGCCTAGTATGGCTGTTTTTGTTTTAATAAAAAAGAACCTGAAATTTGCAGTAGTTCCTGCCGGCTCTCTGACACCCCTGAAACATAGTCCAGAAAATAATAGCCAGCCAGTTATGCAGTTCACTGATCAGTTTGCAAATCACATGCAGCATTATTATGCAGCATAATTTGAACAGTATTCAGCAATTCAAACATAGTGATTATTCAGACTTGGCCTTGTCTGCGAAGGTTTTCAGTCACCCACGTCATTGAATTGTGAAACAACAGTAAGTTCTGTCTCTCAATAGACTGAATAAGCGTAATAACCATCTAGTAGGTGCTACAGTGCCGTCATAACATGCTTAACTCTGCAGTTCGTCACCAATTCGCAGCCTCTAGAGTTCCAAAACCGTCAAGTGAACTTGAGTTAATTCATAATAAAACAGGTGTGAGAATTAAGACACCACCTGTGAAATTTATGGCATCACATGAGGTTTATGACATCACATGCAAACTTAATGGTATCACATGAAGGTTATGGCATCACCTGTGAAGTTAATGGCATCACATGTGAGGTTCATGGCATCACATGAAGTAAATGGCATCACATGTGAAGTTAGTGGCATCAGATGTCAAGTTTATGGCATCACATGTGAGGTTTATGGCATCATCTGTGAAGTTAATGGCATCACGTGTGATTTTATGGCATCACGTGAAGTAAATGGCATCACACGTGAAGTCGATGACATCAGATATCAAGTTTTACGGCATCGCATGTGAAGTTAATGCCATCACATGAAGTTTATGGCATCACATGAAGTTTATGGCATCGCATGAAGTTTGTGACATCACATATTAAGTTTTTGGTATTAGATATGTGTATTATGGCATCACAGATGTGATTGTTCGGCTGGCTTTACACAGTGAAATTTGCACATTTTCATTGAACTGAAATTCTCTTGAGTTACACCTGAGTACTATTCACTCAAGTAAAGCGCCCTGCGATTCACTCGAAACGCAGTTGCAAAACTTTATGAAAGAGCCAATCAAAACACAGATAATATATGATCATGCAAACAATATTATTTCAAACAATTGATGTCACTGGATATTAAATGGACAAGAAAATAAGACAGAAGTTCACTGGGCGGCTGGAAATGAGACTCCAGTGATCGACTTTATGCAAGGTTGGTAGTTTTTTATTGTTCCAGTTTCCTGAGTCATGACAGCAAAGAAATGAGTTTCTTAAAGCTAACATTCATGTAAACAGCTGCAGTAACCAACCAGCTAATGCTAACAACTGTTCAAATGGCAGCTTGTGGCAGCATTTATTCGTCTTTATCAGTCTGCGGTTATCATGATTTATGTAGGTAGATTAATTTTCTCCTCGCTTGACACCCCTTAATTTTACACAGAGTCTTTTGGGATCTAAATGATAAATAATTATTACACTTATTATACAGTTGTTACAATTATTATGGAGACAGATGTGGTCCTTGTGAACTTGTAGTGCTTCTAGGACAGGATAAGTGAGAAATCAAGTAAAATCACTATGTTAACATTATTTTTATTTTTCAAAGTCTTAACATACACAGTACACTTTAAAAACTTAAATATATAGTAACCATAGATGGATGTATGGATAAAAAGACGCAGATATAGATATAGAAAAAAGAACGTTACATTTTTACACCTTAAAATCCCAGATTTATTACAAACCAAGGCTTGTTATTCAGTAACTACAGGGACTCAAATGAAAACTGGCTGAGCTATTCTTAATAAAATGATGGGCCCGCCATTGTATCCTGGCCATTTAAGGGGTTAAACATGCAAATGTAAGTAACACATCGCAGAAACTCACAACATGCAACTATTTGCATGAAAGGTTTACCATGTAAAGCAAGCCTTATGATATTACATACATTAGATTTATGACATCACAGATGTGAGTTTTAGGAAATCACAGCTTTGTGTGAACTACAGAGGTTTTGACAATGTTCCCATTTCAACTGATGAAAACCCTCAGTTAGCATTTCCAAATATAACTCCAGCTTCATTCACCACTACTAGATAAATAGATAATTAGACAGATGGTTACTCATACACTGTTAGAAATTAAGGTTCTGTTCAGGTACATTTGTCATTCATCAAGGTACAAACAACATAAATGTTTCCTCAAAGGTACAACAGTGGTTTTAAGGTCCAACTGTGCACATTAAATATGTTTTTCCAGATGAAAAGTTTGTATTTGTACCTTTTCATAACTGAATAATTTAAAACAGAACAGTAAAATAAAAGCCTGGAGACGAGACGGGGTGTGTGGAGTCAGTACAGCTTAGAACATATCATTTCAGTGGATTATGGTTCAGTTATGTTCCCTGACTAAAGGGACTGAGATGTACCCAGTGACAAGAGGGAAACCGCCCCAGTGACAGTCAGGTACCTTTATTTCTGAGAGTGTAGGATGAGGAGGTTTGACTCTGTAATCCCCAACCTTAAAACTGAGAGGGTCTAAGATGCTAAATAGCCAAAGGGTGTGGTGCATAATGTCTATATAACATTGCGTCATACATAATTGGGTGGTTTAGTGAGTAGTTTGGCTTCTTTATTCTTAGATTAATTTGGTTTGGGGGCCTGTAGGTAAATCTCAGCCCACACATCACTACTTCTTTATCCAAAGCCTGCAACGTGTTCTTACGCTAACAATAAGAAATCACTTTTCAATCCCCACCACTGACTAATTACAGAACGCCACTCACGGCAATGTTTGGAGCTCTGTCTTTCTAAGCTCTGTTGTAGATTCTCCTCTAATCTTCCTCTTAAATGACAATTCAACAAAAAAAATCAAACAGTTTTTTCCCCCAGAGGCCAAATGCAGTCAATCCGCCAAGATATGTTTACAGCAATGGAAATGAAACAAGTAATAGAACCTTATAAATGCCAGTTTAGCATCACAGCTGCTTGCCTCGAATCAACAAACTGTGTTGGGTTGGTAAGTAATCACAAATAAACTCATAAAGTTTGTGACACTTCAAAACAAACTGTTATATATTAAAATGGACCACAATCCAGCTGCGACCAGAGACATAGGCAAGGGGTGGCCTTCGGTGGCCAGTGCCTTCCTGGAAAGAAGCATGATTTATGACATCACTGGCCATCCCGGTAATAGAACGTGAGAGAGTCCACCATCATCAGTCAGCCAGCTTTAATAAAGCATCAGTTATGCTTTATGGTGAAAATCTGCCATCAGGGGTAACCATAGTTACCAATCTGTTATGAGAGTCTGATGATGCTGCATTTAATAATTAGCATATTTTGCTGTGATAGGCTAATTTACTCAGCCAACAGGTGAGTGTATTTGCAATGGGCCACTTCAGCAGTGCTGCACTGAGTAGGCTATTCAATAGTAAGAAGGGTTAACTATCAAAAATTAGTCCACTGTAATCCTTTATCATGCTGGTTTCTTTTTACAGTCGAATACATGCATGTGTTGTAGGTTACCTTAGACAGTGCTGTCTAATCATTAGCACAGGGGTCGGCAACATGCGGCTCTTTTACTGCCCTGTTGTGGCTCCACTGCAGAATTAGATTTGTAGGTAAAAATAAAATAATCCTCCTTTGCAGTAAAATAAACCTCTGCTGATCGATCTACACAGTTTTAACAATAAATGGCTTAAATGCTGGAGTTAATGTAGAACTGCTAATTCACCCTTTAACCCTGAAGGTTGGTGCATAGACTGCTGGTCACCATAGCAACACAGACAAGAATCTTGCCTAGCTAACGAAAAGGCAAAGAAAACGTTGATAATTTTGAGACAAATGGTCTTATCTGCATTTATAATCACTCCAGCTGGTTTCCTGATACATTTAATCTGCATCGAGAAACTGTCAAACACTGAAAAGTCAGGAAGTGGAAGCTTCTTGTTTGATTTTTCCTGTTCCACCTTAAATGGTGCAGCAGGTGCATTCTGGATGGGAAAATTAGATCAAGGAGCTGGCAAATGAGCGGCTGACTTCAACCTTGTAGCCTTGTAAGCGAACATTAAGAGATATTTTACAAGAAAATATCCAACTTTTGAGGAAAGGTTTCCTGCCGGAGATGCAAGAAAAGCAACTATAGCTGAGCTAAAGCTTAAAGCAGAGCAAAGTAATCAAGAGGGGTGTGTTAAGCATACATTCCTCGCCTTCCAACAATTCTTACCCTAATAATTGTAACCGATTTACTGCCACTGCCGTTCTCACTGCAGGTTTGATTTGAGAAGTTTGATGAATTATTGTGAACAGCTGAGAGGCGTGCCAATCATAATTCTCTTGATTTTTAGTTCACTGCAATGGGCTGAAGAGAAAATTATGCAAAAATGTTTTTTCACTAAATTATCGCTACAATGTCCAGACAGCAACCCTGCGGTGGAAATTAGGGAAGGGGTAAAGTGTCGGTCACTGAGACCTGACAAGGCTGTATTTACAGCCCCCTTTCTGTGTGTGTGCTCTGCACAATCAATCAGACACGCTTCACTCAGCTTCACTGCCGAAGTGAGATTTTTCTAAATCCAAACATCAATGCAAGCTTCTTACCGTGGGGTTCATTGAGAACCAGCCCCCCCACCGCACATCACAGTGATGACTCAGCAGCGTTCTCTTATTAGTGTGGCCTGTGGAGGGCTTGAGATGGTCCCCTGCTCACTCCGTGAGGAAAGGCCCAGCTGGGAGCGATGATAAGGTTAAAGAAAGAGGAGGGTTTCTTTTTCCCATTTCCCTCAGAATGCTGTCTCATGAATAATAATCAGCGTGTTGGTATGCAGTCACAGTGCAGGGATTTGGGTAATGGGAAAGAAATGAATGATCTGCAGCCTGAGGGAGGAATCCTCAAGGGCAAACAGACAGACAGGTGAACAGACAGATAGATAAACAAGTACATATGCAGGCAGAGAGAAAGAGAGATGACTAGGCAAACAGAAAGATAAGCACGTACACATACAGACGCCCAGGGCCAGATTCATAAAACACCAGTACATTTACCATGGCGCTATGTGCCAGGGACCCATCCTTGGGGACCAGTGAGAGGTGGCAGGAAGGCGGCGCTCAAACTCTACATGCTGACGACAGCCTCGAAAGATGGCGGGAGGAGGACATAAGCTGCAAGAAATGGTGGGAGGAGATCGACAGTTGCGAGGAACAGTGGGAAGAGTGGGGTGGGATGGCACACAAGTCCTAAGCACTGCCCACTGGGCACCACCTCTGGCCCCAGGATCTATTAAAGCAGCCTCATTGCAGGACCGGAGGCAGTGCACAGGAGGTGGGGCTCAGGACTCGGAGGCTGTCCCCCCAGCCCTCGCGGTTATCATCCTCCCCCTGCTGTCATCGCAGGCTGTCGCCTGTGCTCGGGGTTCGAGCTCCGCCTTCCTGCCAGCTCACATGGCCATCATTGGAGCCCAGGGGATGAGTGTCCACCACGCAGTACCACATTTGCTCATTGCTGTCAAATTCCTGCGCATGGAAAGTATGTTTAGTAATTTGACATGTTGAGATTCTAATTGCATGTTGATTGATTTAATTGTAATCCATTTCAGTTTTTTAATCCTATCTCCGATAGATTTTACAAAGGAATTTGCAAGGAACTTTTACACGTTAAAATGGCGTTTTACTAGTGAGAATTATTTTCTTACAAGTAAAAACTGAGTTTTCACTACTTAATTTTTACTTTTTATTTTTATTTTTCACATGTGCAAAACAAATCCTCATATCAAGAATGAAATATTTACTAGTAGAAATTTTGGTAACACTTTCTATGAATGTCACCTTTGTAAGCATCTATAAACACATTTATAACATGTTATAATGTATTCATAAGGCATTATAAACATGGTTATACATATTTATAAAAAAGAATTACACTGAATTACACTTTATAGGCATGTTTATTATACATTATGAATTGTTAATATAATGCATTATAAGTAGTGTTGATAACATGTTATAATGTCAGTGCCAAAGAAGTCAGTCCCAGCTTGGAGAGTGTAAAGTAAAGACAAATACCAAGCTAACGGTGGTGAACATTACCTTTCCCACATTGGGTAAAACACTGATGGCAGCTCTAGTTTAAACTCTGACATTTGAAGCCTGTAATGTGCTTTATTATGTATGTTTTAGTGTTTCAGTAAATACTTCAGTAAATACTTCAACTTGAAGCCTCACTCTTAACACTGGAGGAGGCTTTAGTACCGTACGCTTCACTTTACTTAGAGTGGACAAATACGACTTATGAGCTCTTATAATTTGTTATGAACAGTACTTATAATGTATTATGTTAACAATTCATAATGCATAATAAGCATGGCTATAACGTGTAATGCATTGTTATAAATATTTATAGCTATGTTTATAATGTCTTATGAATGCATTATAACATGTTATGAATGTGTTTATAGATGCTTACAAATGTGACATTCATAGAAAGTGTTACCGAAATTGTATTTTCACGTGTAGACTGAATTCCTGAGATTAAGAAAAAGTAAAAGCTAAAACCACGTGCCATAGTAATCAGAATTTCAGCATGTCAACTTAACTTTTAACTGTAATAAAAATGACCAGGTTATACTTTAATTCATCTTAGTAATATAATTGTTACTTACATGCTAAAATGGAATTCCTACAATTAAAAGTTCAATTTTAAGATGTTATAGTTTCATTTTATACATAATGTTTTAAGTAGTAAAAACACCATTTTTGCGAATTTGTTTCTTTGTTTTCATTTGTTTCATTTTAGCCAACCACAGCTTCACTCAGCATAGCCTTCAATATGTATGAGCTCTTTTACATGTTGATTTTGATTGGCTCTTTCCTAGAACACCAGTGAAAACACTGCAGCGATAAAAGACACCGGCGCTCTAATTACTGCCACAGTGACTTTATAAACAGGTCTTATTTACCTGAACACATATTTTACGTGGCGTAGCACTGTTACCACTGAGTTTTTTTAATCTGGCCCACAGACAGTTAAACAGACTCGCAGATAAACACAAAGACATGCCAACACATTAGCCCGCTTGACACTTGGCATTCAAATCTGGACGTGGTCCATAAACGTATTTCATAGACAAGTATATCCACATTTATAATCAGAATGTGTTGCCCTGACCTCAACCCCACTGAGCACCTTACTGCCAACCCGAACATCAGTTCTTGACCTCACAAATGCTCTATTGACTGAATGGGCCCAAAATCCCATAGACACATTCCAAAATCTTGTGGAAAGCCTTCCAAGAAGCCTGTTATAGCCACAATGGGGGGTAAATCCATATTAATGCCCATGGTTTTGTAATGGGATATCCTACAAGCTTATATTGGCATGATAGCCAGGTGTCCACATACTTTTGGCCATAATGTATAAAGACATGTCCAGTCTGCCACTTTTAGGCTTAGGTTCTAGAGGGTTAATACCAAATGTAAACAGGGCCATAAACGAATAGGCAGACAAACAAATGACATGCACATGCAGACAGACAGACGATTATGCAGACAGCTAAACAGACTGACAAACAGACAGGACAGATGGGAGCTGGGTACAGATGATAAAGTTGAAGTTTGCTTCAAGCTTATTTTGCATGTGTGTGTGTGTCTTTACAGAGCTGAAACTGAGAGAGGCCTGTCCAGAAAACATATAATAGAAGGTAAAGTATGAGTTTGTCCCTCTATAACACACACACACACACACACACACACACACACACGCGCGCGCACACACACACACACACACACACACCTTTATTCCTGCAGGACTCCGCCACACTATCTTGAAGCACAGCACTAGTTTGCCCTAGGTGCTGTATTTGACCCATGGTGATTAAACTTTCAGGCAGATAATTAAAACAATAAATTATTATCAATAGATAGAATTGATCTATTGTTTCTGAAATATATGAAATATTGAATACAACTTTTAAATATACACCGATCAGGCATAACATTATGACCACCTCCTTGTTTCTACTCTCATTGTCCATTTTATCAGCTCCACTTACTATATAGGTGCACTTTGTAGTTCTACAGTTACAGACTGTAGTCCATCTGTTTCTCTGCGTACTTTGTTAGCCCCCTTTTACCCTGTTCTTCAGCGGTCAGGACCCCCATGGACCCTCTCACAGAGCAGGTACTATTTGGGTGGTGGATCATTCTCAGCACTGCAGTAACACTGATGTGGTGGTGGTGTGTTAGTGTGTGTTGCGCTGGTCTGAGTGGATCAGACAGGAGTTTTTAAACACCTCAGTGTCACTGCTGGACTGAGAATAGTCCACAAACCAAAAATATCCAGCCAACAGTGTCCTGTGGGCAGTGTCCTGTGACCACTGATGAAGGACTAGAGGATGACCAACACAAACTGAGCTATCTTCTCTGACTTTACAAGGTGGACTGACAAGGTAGGAGTGTCTAATAGAGTGGACAGTGAGTGGACACAGTGTTTAAAAACTCCAGCAGTGGACCTATATAGTAAGTGGAGCTGATAAAATGGATAATGAGTGTAGAAACAAGGAGGTGGACATAATGTTATGCCTGATCGTTGTACCTTCTGGAGTCAATCTTTATTTAAAGGAACCTATATTGGATTTTTTTAAGGTCTTGTTCTTTATTAAATAAGGCCCAAATTGGACACTTCCAAATGGTTTATTCACGATGCATTAAACATCATTTGTTATGACCTGTGTTAGAACATAACTGGAGGTCTGTTATATGAAAATTTCTTACAGTTGAATTATTAATTGTAATAATGCACAAACACTTTGTTAAGATCTCGTAATACAAATCATTGAGCATAAATGAACACCTTAAACTCTAATTTTATAAGTGTATGGTAGCATTTTATTCCTATGGGTTCTTAATAATGTCAGGTGCCATTAGTGCTAATAAGAGTTTAATAAGACACTAAATACTTCAAAATGTGTTCTATATTCTAATTCCAGTTTTTGTCATCATTAATTAGAGGCTAAACACTAAACAAAAGAGGCTAAATCACTAAACAAAAGAATTTGTATCACAAATTCAATGCCTACCATGATAACATTGAAAACTCTTTCATACAAGAATTCAGTGTATCTGCATTTGGTGTTAAAATGGATAGTAGCTTACTTAAAATACTAAAACTGAATAGCCATTAAATTATGTTTTCTTTAAAATTTTGGATGCAAATTGACCGAAAACTTGAGGACTTTTTAGCCTCCAATTAGTGAAGACTGAAACTCTGGAATATGGAACAGATCCAGAATTATTAGTCACTTATTAAACTCTTAGGCTGGCTTTTTGCAACTTTAGTTGGTTGAAATCTACATGAAACTAAATTGCACAAAGTTGCGCAATGTAAAATGCCCTGAAACCATTTGAAACTCAGCCGCAACAGTTGCACACATCGCAAGATTCATGAAACAGCCTATCAATATGACAATAACACATCACATGATCACGCTGAGCGACATACTTTTAAACGAAAGGTTTCACCAGATCAGTAAACAAGTAAATAAAACAGAAGACGGGTTATTGGATGGTTGAAAAGGAGATCCTTCTGATTGACTTCATGCATGCAAGGTTGGTAGTTTTTCATTGGTTGGTAGTCAGTTTCCTGAGCCGTCACGATGAACACGAGTTTCTCAGAGCTAACGTTTCTGTTACCAGCTGTGTTAACTAGTTCCTTTAGCCTGCTGTTATCGTCATCTACATAATATATAGCTAGATTCATTTTCTCCTTGTGTGATGCCTCCTAATTTCACACAGAAGTGAAATTCAGATATATAGACATAGAAGTATGTAAATAACACCTCGTATGGAATAGTGCATCAAAAAAATACCAGCTGCTAATTTGGCTAACTAGTGGAGTCAATGAATGTGTTGTGTAAAACTTTGATCTTAGCTTTGTGTAACTGTTAAGTTGCTTGTAAATTTTGTTGCATGTAACTAACATGCAACTAGTTTACATGCATGCAACAAAATGCATGCAACAAAATTTACAAGCAACATTTTGTTGCATGCAACAAAATTTACAAGCAACTTACTTCATGCAACTACTAGTTGCATGAAGTAAGTTGCCTGCAACATGCAACTAGTTGCATGAAAGTTTCTTTGTTCAAAGCCAGCCTCGCAGCTTTAATGCAATAAAGTCACATGACGCTATCTAGAAACTACAGGAATCAAATGTTGGCAATTAAACACTAATGAGATGTGTGATTATTTCATACTAATTCATGCATAACAAGGTCTTAACAAAGTGTTTATTGTGCATCATCACAACCAATAATATGATTTTTTATTGTCCTGTGCAGATACTAATGAATATAGCTTAATTAATACACAGTGAATAAAACCTTTAATCAAATTTAGGCTTTATTAAAGCTTAATAAATCCCCAACACTATGTGTTCTTTCAAAGTGTAACCCACGTCAGCCTATGCTGTATAAGTTATTTTTGAATAAAACTGAACAAGTATTAAATATGACAAGTGATTACAAACTTTGCATCACTCACTTTTTCAAACTCTGAACTAGAGCACAGAAAAGAGGGCACACACACACACACACTCACACACACACACACACACACACTCCCTGAGTGCCTGAGAGTCTGATTACTCATCACAATTATGTGCCTGTGATGCTAACTGCACAGCCTTTAGTACAATAGATGGCCATGTGGGACCGCCCACTACACCTGTATGTTCATTAAACTGATACTCTGTACCCTCGGTGCGGTGGGGCTGCGAGGGAGCTCACAGCAGATGAGCACAGTTCAGCGTATGTGCTGCTTTAGGGACTGAGGACTGCTTTGACACACACACACACACACACACACACACCCACACACACACACACAGCCCTGGCCTAGATATCACAGAAAGAGAGAGAGAGAGAGAGAGGACAAGAGAGGGGGGATAAATGAGCGCTTGTGTTTGCCGGTCTTGCCACTGGCCTGCAGTTTGTTCTGTGTCAGTGCGAGTTAGACCTCAAAGGGCTGCTGTGCTTCCACTCTCTGTTTCTAATGTCTCTCTCTCACTTTACTCTCTCTCTCTCACTCTCTCTCTCTCCCCCCCCTTGTTCTTTCACCATCTTTCTTTCTCTCTCTCTTCTCTTGCGTGTGATTTCTCTCTCCATCTGGTGCGTGTCAGAGGAGCCTTGTTATGTCTTCACCACTGAGCTGAGTTCAAATGTTGGTCTGGTGGGGCCTTGAGGCTCACATACACACACACACACACCCTCACACACAAACATACAACAACTCTGTTCAAATGACATGTTTTTGTTGATTTTCTGAGTGGAAATGTTAACATATCATATACAGAGAACACAGTACTGCACATCTTAATGCTTTTTTAGTACCGTTTATTAGCTGAGTTTAACGTATTGGGAGAAAACACTAAGATATGGAAGACGGAAAGCAGCCTGTGCAAAAGATATGAAAAAAAATTTGTATTATATTATTGCATTGGCAGAAGAAAAAACACAGGGGTAGCCTTGATCTGCTGCAAGAAGTGCTCTTTATAGGACACACTAGCGGGGAGGGCCACATACAGAACACCAAACTTGAGGCAGGGTCACCCTGGTGACCTCTGCTCACACACAAAACCCCCAACTAAAGCCACACCCCAACACATAATAAAACCTTAAACACATATGCACTAGTGTTGCACCGATACTGATATTATATTGGTATTGGCACCAATATTGGCGCTTAATTGCAGTATCGGTGAAGGGGATACAGATACAAATGACCAACACCATGAAGCAATTTCTGACACGTGCATGCGCACCAGTAGACAGAGCTGAACATCACGTCAATAGTGTGGGATGACAAGCAGCAGTAAAAACTCTCATGGCAGAAACTGTAACTGAGCAGCATCTGGTGAGAATAACATGTTTACAAAGCCGCTTACCTGAACGGCTGAGCTGCTTCTTTCAGTAATCGCTCCTCTGCGGCTGTGTGGTCACTTACAGACTGAGTTAATGTTATTGAGAGAGCTGAAGGAACCGCCGGACTCTCGGTGTAATGATGGCATTTAGCCTTGGTTTATCTGTAAACTGTTCAGCTCTGTTTTTAACTGTTTTTCACAGCAAACATATTTTACATTTACTCAAGTTGTTGAACATGGTTCTTATTACTAATTATATGATGGTAAATACTAAATATATACAGTAGATAAACAAAAATAAATTCTCTTTAAGCATCCGGTAAATATATTCCAACAAGTAAATGCCATCTAAACAAGCTGAATGTCTTTTATTTGTGACATAAAACATAGACTTCATAGACTTTTTAAATGAAATATTTTAAAAATGTAATTCTATAAATATCAGGACTTATATGTGAATTAGTTTAGATAGAATTGGCATCAGTATCGATGCTCGGTATCGGCCGATACTAAAGGATCAGTTATCGGTATCGATATTGAAAGGAAAAAAATGGTATCGGTGCATCTCTAATATGAACAGCTTAAACTGACAGACAATAACAATAAACAACAAAATCAGTCCTTCTAACAGTGTGAAACCATGAGTGTTTGGTTGTGGCCATCTCTTTAGCCAAACCTCCAGAGTCTCTGGGTGCCAGCGCCAGCCAGTAGCAGGCGCTACAGTATGTTATTTTTCATGTTAAGCAAATAAATAGAAAATGCGCAGTAAAATTTGTGGAAAAA